TCTCTCTCTCTCTCTCTCTCTCTCTCTCTCTCTCTCTCTCTCTCTCTGTCTGTCTGTCTATCTTTGTTTTTCAACATAAGGTTTCTCTGTGTTGCCTGGGCTGTTCTGACACTAACTTTGTACATCAGGCTGACCTGGAACTCAGAAATCCACTTGCCTATAGAGGGCTAAAGGCGTGTGTACACCACCACTGCCCAGCTTAATGAACACTTTAAGATAGAATAAAATTACAAATACTTTATGAAGCTGAGGTTTGCAAACTGTTTATAACATTTTAAAAATACTTCAGCTTTGTAGTATTGAGATTTTTTTTGTGGAGTTGCTGTTAGGTCCTTACATTGTACTGAATGCCCACAGTACTGCAGCATTTACACCTCCTAATGTAGCAGTCTCTGTATTATGCGTCTCAATTGAATAGGGCCATTGTTCAGTTTTCAGTAAGCAAAATTACTTTAGCTTCAATTACTTAACTATAGAAAACTGTATTTTCCCTTAGAAAATTTTGTAATCATAGCTTGTTTATTCAGGGTGTTTAAAAATAAATAACTCTGGAAAGTACTATTTGTTGCAGAGTTTCTTTTGAAGATCTTAAAAGAATTCTAAAATTGTGGGAAAATTCGCATACATTTCTTGATGTGCTAGAAGCAATTGAATCATATACTTTAAATGAATGAGGTTTATGTTATATTATACCTCAAGCAGTTTTTTAAAAAGTAACTTTCAGTTATTAACAGGAAGAGTCATGGTGGAACTCTTTATTTTCCTAGATGCTGGATCCATTGTCTTTGAGCAGCCCTGAAAATTCTGGTTCAGGAAGCTGTCCATCACTTGATAGTCCGTTGGATGGGTAATGATTATAGTTCTGCTTCTTAGTACACATTGATACATATGTTATCAATAATTCTTTTATCTACATTCTGAAGAATGTAGCTGATCAATGATTGTCTACACTGACAGCAAGTACAGTTTTCTGTATTATGAATAAATCTTTTAACCTCATGGAGTTCAATATCTCTATTGAACTATCTCTATTGTCACATTATGTTTTCTTTTTCTCTACTATTTCTGCTTGTCAAATTCTTGTTTGAAGCAAGTGCAAACTTAAAATTTACATTTGTTTATTATATGGCAGCTTTTGAAACTCATAAAATTTCTTATGTTTGGTTTTGACAGTTTCTTTTTAAAAATGGTAATTTTTTATTCCTTGTATGCATGACATGCATTTGTAAGGGCTCCCTCTCTTGTTCTCAGAAGGACATTGCTCTTTGCAGTCTTTCCAGAGCACAAAATTAGTATTTGATGCTTCACTTGTTTATTTCCTCTGACTTCTTTATGAAAATAGATACACATTTGGAAATTGATGTACACTTTCCTCTACCCATACCTGTGAAACCTGTGTGTTAGGGTTTGCTTCGGGAAATCTACTCTGCCTACTCCCCCACAAAAGAAAGAAATGTTGTAGTGTCCCATCCTGAATATTTATCATTAATGATTGATAAGTTAAGATTATATGTCTTTTGTATAGATTTAGAAACAGTTTCAAACAAAAAAAATTTTCCAACATTAAACTGAAATACAGGTTGGAACCTCCATGGCTCCAAATATATCGTTCTTACCCCTATATGTAGTAGATGGTTTTAAAAGCTTGGCTTTCTGTCTGTGTGTACCAAATGAGTGTTTCAAAGAAGTTTCTCTTTTTAAAAATTTATGTCAGTATTAAGTGAGCTCCTTTACACACATATTCAATGAACACACACACATAACCCATTTTTAATTTAATTTAATTTTGATAACATAACCCATTTTTTAATTTAACTTTATAATTTCTATTTATAGAGAAAACTATCCAAAGTCACGGATGCCTAGGGCACAGAGCTACCCAGATAATCATCAGGAGTTCTCAGGTTAGACTGTAAATCCTACACACTTGAATGTTTATGTCTTATTTTGGCTGGGAGGGGAAATTTTTTGAAAAAATTAAAAATGATAGATATGCTTTTCATTATTAAAAATATGATAGCATTCTTATGTCTTAACAGACTATGATAACCCTATCTTTGAGAAGTTTGGGAAAGGAGGAACATATCCAAGAAGGTATCATGTGTCATATCATCATCAAGAGTATAATGATGGTAAGTTTCAAAAGTCAGACTTCAAGAACAAATTAGGGTTAGCAAATATTCCAAAAATGATCACATATTTAAAAAGCCTCATATTTATGGTAACCAAATAACTTGTTCTTGAGTCACTTAATTTTCTGATAAGGCATTAAAGGCATTAAAAAATGCCTTTATCAGTAATGGTAGCACATATCTTTAGTCTTAGTACTCAGGAGACAGATCTCTATGAGTTCAAGGCCAGCCTGGTCTACATAGTTAATACCAGGACAGCGAGTTACACAGAGAGACCAGGCTTCAAACAAAAATAAAGCAATGAGCCTTTTTGCTGGGGATGCGGCTCAGTGGTAAAGTACTTACCTAAGGCCCCGAATTTGACCTCTGTCAACCCTCCAAAAATGCTTTTTGAGAAAATCAGGTTATAAGTAGAGCAAAATAGTATAATGGTTTTATGCCAACTTGTGATATTTATGTTTCACTACAAAGCAGTAATTGGAAATGGTATAAATTAGAAATTTACTCCCTGAGGATGAAATTCATATTTGCTTTGTCTCTTTAAGAAAGTAAATTGGTTCTGAGAAGGTAGCTCAATCAGTGAAGTGTATGCTGCTCAAGCATAAGAACCTGAGTTCAGACCCCCTGAACTCATGGAAAAGCTGGGCACAACAGCATATGCCTCTAACCTGAGCTTGGAGGAGAGGATGTGGACCAAGTGGATCCTTGAAGCTTAGTATAGGCCAGACTAGTTGAATTAGTGAACTTCATGCTCAATGAGAGGCCCCAAAATAGTACTTCAATAAATAAAGATGGCAGTTGGGCATGTTGCTCATGCCGTTAATCCTAGCACTTGGGAGTAAGAAGTAAGTGGATCTCTGTGAGTTTGAGGCTACCCTGTTCTAAAGAACTAATGCCAGGCCAGCCAGAATTACAGAACTATATAATTATACCTTGTCTTAAATAAACTAACTAACTAAATAAAGTAACGTGGTTATGC